GTAATCAAACAAGCTATAAGGTTTAAGACATGGTGTTGACATTATTTCCTCAAGACACAAGTCCGTAATTGGAATCTCCTAAATATTACAGCTTTTAGAGGCCCGGCATGGCCACGTGGTTAGGGCGCTCGACTCGCAATCTGAGGTTCGCGGGTTCGAATCCCCGTCACACGCCCTTTCAACTGTGGGGACGTTATAAGTTGACGGTCAATCCCACTATTCGTTGGTAAAAGAGTAGCCCAAGAGTTGGCGGTGGGTGGTGATGACTAGCTGCTAAATTAGGGACGGCTAGCGCAGATAGCCCTCGTGTAGCTTTGCGCGAAATTAAAAAATACAAACAGCTTTTAGACATGGAGTCAAAACAGAGATTTGTAGCTTGAGGAAATAATGTCAACATTTTGTCTCAAACCTTATAGCTTGTTTGATTACTTTTTTGGCGATTGCATTTTCACTTTGAGTTACCTATCTTGTTTCCGTATTTTTGAAGATCCCTATTCCCCCTTTTTAAATTCATAATTTTGATAATCTTGTTCCTTTAAGTTTTTTATGTCCGTCATGGACATACATATGTATAGTAGCAATATTTTCCTATTTGAAACAATTTAGTTTAATGAATTACGTAGTTGGTATATGATGCTCTCTCTCGGGAAACAATGAAAACCTTTGGATTGGCTTCATGCAGATTGGATGGCTATTACTCCTGTTAACATTGCCACAATGTTATCATTGATAGTGGTACTGCATATATGTTCACGATAATCAACATATAACATGTTATGTACATGCTTCTAAAATATATATAGCTACTATATTTATACTCTGTAGCTATATGAGGAGTCTGTGAACACTGTACTGGAAGAACTACTGAACTATACTGGAATGATGCATGGACTGGATTTTGTAATCGTATGAGTTTTATACATGCATGCTGGCTAGTCTTTTTATATCTACATGTAGATTTATTCATGCAGGCTTTATAGGCGTTATTTTTTAGTTGTAAAGCCGTGTATATAGATAGCCATATGAATTTACATGTTTTATAGATGCATGCACGTGTATTCAATGCAAATATAAGACAATGTGTTATTATATAATAACATATGTATACAAATAAGCATTTTAAACATTTCTTATAGTTGTTATATTCCTCCATTCCTCTGGCCAGAGTGAGGCCGGTCACGGTCTTACCGCAGATGTCCAGATTTCCTCTTAGAGTGATATTCTACACACTGTACAAGGTCGAAAACGTGTTAATTAACAATTGTGAATTGATTATATTAATACACTTTTCCCGCCTCCATTTCTGATGGCGTTTGGGTCGTAATATTTTTACGACCATCTTCCACTGTGACGACCCTAAACTCGGGAGGGCCGTTGCTGCTGCATACTTTATCTGAAACTAAATATATGAAATATATAGGTACATAATTTCTGCTTCACTTTCGTCTAGAATCGCCATCTCCTGCTTGCACGATTCTTGCCCCTCCTTATAGTCAGCTTCAAGGATGGCTACTCTATCTGCAGTATCTATAAAATTCGCAATCACGTAGTGTTGGCTATAATTCGACACTTACCATCAGCCATAACCGTGATTACCGATTCGATGTTCGAAACTGAGCTTGGTGCTATATTCTAAACTACGGCTTAAATATTTCTAGATGTTTGTATAACATGGCCAAACTCGATCATGCAGTGATAAAAAAAAAGTGATACTGTCAAAAGCGTCGTGTCCGAAACTGCGGGAATTCTATACATAAATAAATGATACATGACATCAATACAGTTGCAATAAAAAATTAATAATCACTATAATACATGTGCCAGGCCTGCCATATAAACATTGAATTATATCCACGGCTTGCATGCAGCTATTTACGTATGCATGTAGCAGATTATGAGACTCCATATAAACCGCAGACTACATTAAAACGATTGGATATCAACGGTTATAGAGTCGCTGTTATTTGCTATGTAGTCAAATAAACATAAAGCTACCATACACAATGCGCAATGATGCGTTTAGTAATATTGCCCAGGTTTTATTACAATACTCACAGCCATTTTCGCTTCAGGATGTCGGAACAATATTGAATAATAATAAAGAACAAATGGACGACCTTATTATGAACCACTACTGTGGTTCATGACTAGGGATACAACTTGTTAGAATATAATAATTTTAATTAAAATTTGTTTAATAATGATATTATATATCGGAGGTATAACTTTGGTCTAAAAAAAAAGTGGCAGTTTCTATAGCTTGAACATGAGGTTTATTCTATTTAAAATAGAAAAAATTGCAATGATTCCTATAGTATTTAGTAGTTATACAAGTAAATTATTGAGAAATAAATGTTTTATTATTGCTTCATTGTGAGTGACATTTTTCAGATGTTGGAAAGTAAGGGGAATATGTCCCCGCGTCCCTCGTGTAAATTACGACTATATATATTCCAAATAGAAAGAACGGACAAATTCTTATGTTCTCTTGATAACAAATAGTTATATGCTTTATACAGTTAGCAATTGCAATACCGAGTTCTTAGGCCTTTTTTTTTATTTGTAACCAAACTATAAGGTTGACTAAAGAAATACCTCTGTGTACATAATGGCGCAGCCCAGTAGAGTGATACACAGGAACACAGGACTAGCCACTTTGATGACTTTCAATTTCCTGTACCGATAGACATAGCAGGCTAAGGTGATAGTCAAAACAACGCAAAGCATGGAAATCACAAGGAGAGAAATTCTGGAAGTAGACGAAGACAAACAACTCAGTTCAACAAGTCTTGTTTATTATTTAATTTCTGTGGTGCAAATTGATGTATAAAAGACATTTTAACACTAGAAATAAACGACATTAAAACACCAAAACTGATGAAATTATTATTTAAACCATTTGAAACTTTATATTGTCAGTTACGGTTTATGAAGAACCTCTGAAGCGCAACGGTGAGTATCCAGTTAAAGAAAAATAACAAAGTCTTATTCAGTTATCTGTATAGATCCATGAGCAGAAAATATTAATAAAACAACACGGTACATAGATTACAGTTGCAAACTTTCACGAATGACAGAAATATTATGACTCAATGGTGGAGACGTAAAAATTAATAAAAAACATACATCTAAGCTCAAAGTAAAGGACTGGTAATGACATCAAATTGTTAAAGTTATGTTAAAGTCATTTGCTTGTTACGATTTTCTGTACTTCAACAATACTGTTTTTCATAATTCAGTTTGAGATTTTTTTGATTTGTGACAAATTATATAACGAAGAAAATCTTACAGGAGATTTATCTTTTTCGTTTGGTTACAGAACAACAACTTACTACTTATCATTTGCATAAAAAAAACTGGTTGATCAACATATTTCATATTCCAGTAACACACCGCTAATGTATTAGATATAGGATGACAACTAATGGCAAAATATGCTTGTACAAGTTATACAAATTCCTTACAACTATTATAGAAAACATGGAGACAAGAGAGAGTAATAAACGTAAAATCGTCGTCCTTTATAAAAACTAAAATAAACTAATAACCTGAGCTTGGCCAGTCCGTTAAAGAATCAGAAAAATAGGTGATATATATACATATATTCTTTTTACATGAAGCTTGGCCAATTCATTCAAAATACACAAACTAATATATATTACATATTCAGAGTTTTTTCTATGAAAATAATCAAAAGGCTGACCGGAAAGCCCAGTTGTAAGGAGACAAACAAGGAGATTCGTCTACACAAGTTTCACATCCCGTCGGACAAGGTTTACACACGTACAAGAGGTCATAGTTTGGGCTAAATTAAGGGACATAAGATATAAGTCACCTTCTTTGTTACTCAATTTACATGTTGTTATAAGACATTTAATTAATGCGAATAAAGATTAATTTGGCAATTTACAAATATCATGATTGATTTATAAGAACCAGTGAACTACACACTTACAAACAACCTAGTTTAAACAAAGTAGTTTTTGCTGCTGGTGATTTTAACTTACGTAGGTCAGTAAAAAACAACACTCATAAATAATAGCTACATGTACACAATGACAGGGAGTCTTTATAAAGATGTGTTACTATATCACTAGACGATTTTGATCACCAAAGAAGAAATTTTGACAGAAATTAAGATTACAATGATAAAGTAATGCAATCCAATTTAGTATCAGTAACGTGAGGTTTAATTGGATCTACGGTTCTTAATTATCCTAGTATGCCATAATTTAACTTTGATAATTACTCTCTTTACAAGACACCGTAAGACTGCGTTATAACGTTAATACACCCGCTATTCAAAACAACAAGATAAATATCTTAATTACAGATGTGCCCTGGTCACAGCTAACTACTAAGCAAGATAATTTAGAATTTAAAGAATCAAAATTGTAGTCAACATCTATTAACGGTTTAGTATTAAACAAATAAAATGGTGTTCCAAGAAAATGTGTTAGTTTTCAAACTAGGATATTAAGAACTACATTTTATGTCATATACGCACAAGAAATTTAATTTCTTATCAAGTTCAGCAGACGTAATCAATTTTTGTTTGGTACAGAAGAACGTTTTACTTGGACAAGTTGAAACAAAAAGATAAATTAATTCAATTTGTTTAATAAATGAAACTATCAAATAGCAAAACAAAAATACCTGTGGATAGCTTGTTTTTCTCTCCAAGCAGACTCGACTAACGTCCCGTTAAATTCAGGTCTTCTCAAAGACGAATAGAAACCCCTTCTACAGTGACATCTGTAAGCTCCACTGGTCCAGCCATAATTGGGGGAAAAAATACACTGATAAAAGAAAAATAAAGGAATAAGAGAATTTTACTTGTGCATTACCTAATTACCAGAATTTTACTTGTGCGTTACCTAATTACCAGAATTTTACTTTTGCATTACCTAATTACCAGAATTTTACTTATGCATTACCTAATTACCAGAATTTTACTTATGCATTACCTAATTACCAGAATTTTACATGTGCATTACCTAATTACCAGAATTTTACTTGTGCGTTACCTAATTACCAGAATTTTACTTGTGCATTACCTAATTACCAGAACAAGAATTTTATGCATGGGATAAGGTCTTCTAACGTTAGGAACAAATTTACTGCGTTCTACACTAAAACTCGGATTCATTTCTATGCCATTGCTCTGCATCTAAAAATTTGGTTGTTTCGTAACATCCATGAGTACGAATTCTATTTGACTGGATGGCTTGTGTGATCAATAAAAAATTTAATATGAAGAAGTCTCAGTAGTACAAGATTAATTTATCTTTGTTTCGTTATCTGATGAAGATGGAAATTTTGCGAGTCAACAATAGGAAATAAAATGCTCATATGCTATTATAGTAGTTAAGGTTTATGACGCAAAATATCGGGTTTTAATACCCGCTGTGGGCATAGCACCGATATCCCACTGGGTAGCTTTGCGATTAATAATAAACAAACAAACCTTTATCGTCGGATTTGGTGATCAAGTAATTGGTTTTCTAATAGACTTAAGTGTGGAGAAATACTAACCTAATCACCAGTAGTACAAGTTATAACTTTCATTTATGAGAATAACAAGTAAAACTTCAGTTTGATAAAGAACGTTACTCACACTTTTTACATGGTAATCCTATTGTCTCTAGTGTTACAGCAGACTTACCTACACAACCGGTTATTGCAGAAACAGCTATAGTTATAGTATAAATTGATGAAATAGCTCTAAATTCTGTTGTTTATAAAATTACAGCAAAACTATTGTAATGTATATTGCATACTGAGACACTATCGTTTATTGGGCTATTACAGAAACATCTATAAATGCTATTGTTTCTTGATCTATTACAGAAATAGTTATAAATGCTATTGTTTACTGAACTATTACAGAAACAGCTGTAAATGCTATAGTTTGCTGAGCTATTGCAGAAACAGATAGTTGCTACTGTTTATTGAATTATTATAGTGTACATTCAAATGTGAATCGATGGGATTGTAATCGTGTCTCTGATAACTCTCATACAGGGGCTGTTGCCCCATAGCTTGAGAGAAGGGGGATGATCTCAAATGGCAATTTCTGTGAAACATTTCTAGTCAGGCCGGATTAACACATATACGCAAATAACGCCATAGCGTACGGTCCCCAACTGAATTTGGAGTCCACGTGAAGTCAGTTCTCTTCAAATAACGCCATAGCGTACGGTCCCCAACTGAATTTGGAGTCCACGTGAAGTCAGTCTTCTTCAAATAACGCCGTAGCGTACGGTCCCCAACTGAATTTGGAGTCCACGTGAAGTCAGTCTTCTTCAAATAACGCCATAGCGTGGGGCACCACCTGAACTTGGGGTCCACGTGAAGTTAGCTTTCTTCAAATAACTCCATAGCGTAAGGTCCCCAGCTGTACTTGTGGTCCACGTGAAGTCAGCTTTCATTGCTCTCCCAGCTTTTTATGAAATGACGTTCCCGATCTTACCATCAGCTGACACTCTCTGACATTGCAAATATTGTTGCGTTACAATAACATAACAATGGATTTTTGAATTTCTTTTTAACTAATAATTACGGTAGCCATATTAAATAACTAGCTTGATAATTAGCTGTTCTAACGATGGTTAATAGATATCGTGGCGACCTCTACATTTAGCAGTACATCATTGAAACGTATAGAAGTGATATTACATCCCAATATGACCAATAATAATTTCTAGTTGTTTTTTATATATCTTTTATATTTTGTATGCCACTAACAACGAGTCCTGTTGCTTAATACCACTACTAATAAGACTGGCTAGGTTAATATAAAGCTTCGGACACCTATGCAATATCAAGATTTTGAGCGTGTAACAACTAAGATGGCGAAGAGTGATCCACCAGTTGGTAATATAGAGGGATGAGTACGTCATAATTAAAACGATTTTGGAGCCTCAACACGTTGTTACAGTCTCTGACGCCCCATCGGTTATGCTCTATCTAATGACTGTGTATCTTAACAATATCCCTGCAGTGTAGTTTCTTTTGAAAAAGGCTCCATCATAAAAGTGTCATGGCCAGATTACATCACTGTTTCCTGTAAGCCTTCCATAATCCATTTGGTGTACGAGAACAACAGTTTTCCTACGTCCGTTTCAACAGTCTGATTGCACAGAAATCCACAAACTGCGTATGGCATAGCAGAAATACACGTTTCATTCTCCAGCTGTTTGACGTATTTGACAATTGAACAACATTTTGTGGAGGCAACATGGGTGCACGTGTCTTGTATCCTTTTCCAGACGGAGATCTTTATTGATTATGTTACGTACTTTTGCCTAGGACACGTGGACGGCTTTTCCCATTGACTTGTGTATTCGTGGATTCTCACCTCTTACAAAATCCTGCAACTTGTTTATCACGGGTGGGATACGATTTGTTGCTGATCGCTTTCGGGGTAGCCCTGGTCCTCAATTTGGTCTAATTATTTTCAAATATCAATAAATGCAAGTGATATTCCCTTCTTGGAAATTTTAAATCCATGATCTGAACATAACTGTATGATCTCAGTGAATGAATATTTTGCGTCGGAAAGGGCTGTTACATACCTTTCTCAAAAACAATAAATTTTCTGTGGCATCACACTACCTAACGACATGCCAACAATGTCAAAATATAGCTCTGTTGCACATTGTTCAACCAGTCTTTATATCAGCTGTGGTTGTCACGTGACTTGCTGATTTACATACATTCAAAATCATTTTAATTTAACGTATTCAATCAGATGTGATATTACATATTTATAAGTCTATTACCAACTAAAGAATCTACTCAGCAGTGGGGAAAGCTGCATATAGTTTTCTTGATGAAAGTAGACTGTAGGGTCATGGAAAAGCCAGAATATTTTTGTTTTTTTTTAAGTTAAGCACAAAGCTACACAATGGACTATCTGTGCTCCGTCCACTACGGGTATCGAAATCCGGTTTCTAGCGTTGTAAGTCCGCAGACATACCACTGTGCCGCTGGGGAGCAAATCTGAATACAAATTTCTCTTGTGGCATATTACTAGTTGGTGTCGGCTATGAATATTTATTCCATTAATAACTCAACTATGCCCAATAATAAGCACGTTGTTTAAATACTGTTACACCTTTCTCCTACCAGAAACCCATACTAGGCCAGTAAATAAGGATGTGACTGGAATTAATATCAGTTTTATTGTAATGTAATATCCAGCTATCACAAACGCCAGCTCAGACATTATCTATATACTACTAAAACTCTGAACTGTTTGTCCGTAATTAAATACAGCAAAAACGGCGCATCATATGAGAATAGAAATATGAATAGAATGAGAATAGAAACAGAATAAAACAAGTTTCGTTAAAATCGGGCCACGGATTACCGAGTTAGTGCCGTTTTTCGGGTCACTTTTCGTACATTCCATTATTAAAAAACTTCGTTTTCCATCTGATTAATCACTTTAAAATATCTTCTATACAACAATATATGCACAACAGAAATTATATGATGAGATTAAAATGTGTTATAACGGTGTGTAGAAAGAATCACAATAAAATGGACCTACAATATTATTGACTATTTGCAAATAGTAACTATGGAGATGAGGTAATAAAATACAAATCAAGTCGAGAACAACAGCAGTTTTAAAAACGAAAACCTCTCGACGAGCAGTGGCTATTATATTATTTTCCTGTCAATGTTCTCATTTTCATTAAAAGGCGTAAGATGACAAAAACAAGATCTTGAAGAATCTATCTATATACTACTAAAACTCTGAGATTGTTTGTTGTTTGCTTGTCTGTAATTAAATAAGCAAAAACAGCGCACAACAGCGCCATATTTGTAAGAATACGGTACCCCTGAAGTGAGAATAGAAACAGAATAAAACAAGTTTCGTTAAAATCGGGCCACGGGTTACCGAGTTGGCGCCGTTTTTCGGGTCACTTTTATGAAAATTTCTAGCATGAGTAATTTTACATCACACTCTCGTTCGCGCTCTTTACGAAACTTCTTACTTCACTTTTTTCAAAATGAAATGGTCTTTCCTTTTACTCCCGATGAGTAATCAAATATCTTTTCTTGAATTGTAAATAACACGAATGGATTGAAATATTTG